GAGCCCCCCACCCCTGCCGGAGCCCCATACCTGCGCTGAGGCCGAGTGGTCACTCCCACAGGAAGCGCACATACCAGATGGTCTCGTTCTTCAGCTGCGGCCCGAACAGGGGGTTCAGCTGGGCCAGGATGGCGATGAGCCAGCTGCCAGGGACAGCACAGTGAGGGTGAGCTCGGACACAGATGGGACCTCCCAGGTGTGCCTCCTCCGAGGCCTGCGGGCACGTGACCAACCCAGCCGCCGGCCACAGGTGCCGGGATCTGTGCTACGGGGTGAGGGGCCCACAGAGCCTTCCGCACTCCAGCTGGCAGGTGGGCTGGGCTGGAGTTTGTGGGTGTGGGTTTAGGTTTGACTTGATGTTCTGTAGATTTATTACAATCCCTGAGTTGAGGCTGGACCCTGGGAGGAGGGAAGAGGTAAGACAGCCTCCTGGGGCACATTGGCAGCGACTCCCAGCTCTGCCCCAATACATTCCTGGTGTGGGCGCCCCAGTCTGCACCTGGGAGCAGGACAGGGCTGGTCTGATAGGAGGCATGTCAGAATCACCCCCTTTTAGGAGCAAGGTGAAGAAACTACCCCAAAAGGTGCTGGCCACAACACCCCACTCCCGGGCCTGCTGGGAATGGGGCAGGGCTAGTGAGCTCTCCAGGGACCAGTGGCAGGCTGCACACGTGGGGCAGGGGTGTCAGGCCCCATCATCGTGACTTCATTTGCCCACAGAAGCAGCCCCACAAAGACCCTGGAGATGCACAACTTGGCATTCCCCCGATAATGGTACCCATGGGGCTTGGTCTGATTTTGCAGGAAGGAGCCGGCTCTTCCACCTCTGAATCCCCACAGCAGCCAGTCACCTGCCTGACGCCCAGGACACTGGCAGAAGGGGCTGCCTGCTTACCATCAGCATGACCCGGAGTTTATGTTTCATAAATATAATTTCTAGGCTTGGCATCTGCTTCAGTTGCCCATCTTTCTGCCTGTGTGCGTCTGTTCTGCAGCCCAGGCTCCCTTCCCCTATGGTGATCGGTGTTTGTAATGACCCACATCCCGCCTCTACTCTGTCTCCCCTCGTTCCCAGTCAGCACCCTCCATCCTGGCCTCTGAGCCTTCAAACCCCAGCCCCTCGCAGGCCCTCCCTGGGGGAGAGGAGAACATCTGTCCGGCCCTAAAAGACCAAGAAACAGCATCGAGAAAGGGGCTTAGAGATGCTCTGTCCAGGGAGAATTCTGGAACACTGTAGTCCTCACATATTTAAACTAATATCTGAGAGTCATCATTATTTTTAAGTTCTATTATTTTTTTTTTAATAGGAGGTAGAAATATTAAACATTATATCAGGTAAAATTAGAATCGCCTGGTAGGAATAAAGCGCTTATGATCTAATTAGATAAAACAGGTTTTAACTACAAAACGGGCACCAAATCTGAAATCAGTCATGCAAATTTTTAAAAATATGGGTAGTAACCTATGTATCTGAAAAATTTGGCAGCCCTGAGAAATACTCCGGTTACTTTCAAAAGAATCTGTTACACCTTTTAAAGAATCAGCATTTCCTCACGTTACCTGTTCTATCTTGAATGTTCTAAATTCAATGACACCAAACTTAACTGATAAAAATGGTGTATGAGACGCAGGAAGATGGGAAGCCATACAGACCTCATGTGGGCTTGAGCGATCATGAGAGGCCTCCCCCACACCAGAACATGTACTTACTCCTCGGTTTGGCAGCCAGGGTGATTTAAACATGGAGCAACAGCCCAGCCAGTGTGGCTCAGCGGTTGAGCATCGACCTATGATCCCGGAGATCAGGGTTCAATTCCCGGTCAGGGCACATGCCCAGGTTGTGGGCTCCATCCCCAGTAGGGGGTGTGCAGGAGGCAGCCGATCAATGACTCTCTCATCATTGAGGTTTCTCCCTCTCTCCCTCTCCCTTCCTCTCTCTAAAATCAATAAAGACATATTAATTAATTTAAAAAATAAACATGGAGCAACAAAATACAGAAGGATTGAGGATGGATGGAGGGGTGGGGTGTCCTTTTCGGAGGGGAGGGGATACCGTGAATGGCAGTTTTAGAAAGAGATCATCTAGATGTTTACCTGGAAATTGATTGCTTTCCACTGTTCAGGTCCTCAAATCCCTCATAATGCTCTTCTGTGTCCCCAGGACCCCTTTTCCAAGTTTGGAGACTGCCCGTCTGGGAACTCTAACTGGCTGCACCACAACCACCCAGGAGTGTGCGTTATAAATGCAGATTCCCAAGTGCAGACCTTGAGCGCTGTTATTTAGTGGGTCGCAGGTGGGCATGAAAAGCACTGAGCTGGCCCAACTCACTCATTTCACACAGGAAAGCTGCGTCCCGTGGACATGCTACAGAGCTTGACACATTTAGAACCAGAACCCTGAGCTCAGGACTTCCAGCCTGTTGCTCTCTTTGCCACTCCAAACAGCTTCCTCTCCTGTGTTTTACAGACCCAGCCTCTCAAGAACTGAACCTGTGACTATGGGGACAGAGGGGAGGGCAGGGGGAGGGAGGAGGGAGGAAGGGAGAAGGGCACTCGATGATTTTGAGCTGGGGAGACAGGTACTTACAAGAGATAGCAGCAGACAGCGGTGGCGACCAGCATGGTGATGATCACCCTGCAAAGGAAGAGAATGTCGTCGGGTCAGGGCCATGGATGGAACCAGCACCCTCAGCAGGCCAGGCCAGGGCCGGAGAGAGAGCCCCCTGGTGTCAGCCTCTTTCCCGTTGGTCTTCCCCCGAGTCACCTGAACACAGGACGCTGAGTTCTACTCAGACGGGAAACGAAAACACTTGTCACCTTAAGGGAGGCTGATTTGACTACACCCAAGTCACCTTACTATTCCTGCCCTTCACCCACTATGTCTCCATCTTAAGGCTGTCATGTTGGGAAAAGACATTCCCAGAGCTGCATTTGCAGCAACTCGTGGAAGGGTCTCTGGAATTCCAAATTCATGGGGCAAGGGGAGGGAAAAGAGAAGACCAGAAGATGGCAAGAAGCAAGGAGACCGTGAACCGTCTCCGAGGCAGAGTGAGTGGCTAGAAAGAGCACAGGGACTGGCTGCCTTGTGTCCACTCAGACGAGTGGAGACAGAAGCCTACAGTGCCGCAGACGAGACTTCAGTGAGACAGAAGAAGGAACTTACCAAGGTTTGCGGGAGAGCTGAGACGCTAAGAAGGTTTACGAGGTGAAGCTGTAAGTCCTCAGCCCTGCACATCTTGATGAACAGAGGCAACACCCATGCGTCCAGGAGGCCTCCCGCCAGAGCTAAACCGAATCCAGACCAGGCCCTACGACCTCTGACCCAAAGCACTGGAAGTGTGCGCCTGAGAAATTAGCACTTATCTGTCCTTTCAACGTTACCAGGCAGGGTGGGCCAGTCCTGGGCTGGGCACTGGGGTCTACAGTGGCCAACAAACCCATCTGGGGTGTCAAGGAACTTGCAATCGAGGGGAGACAGCACTTGACAACTGCCAATAACGTGACGCAGAAACTGGTGAATGGGCTGGCAGGCACAGAAATCTGCTCAGGGGCCTCCACGGGCCACGATGCCAGTCACGCACCATTAAGAGCCTTCATATGTGTTATTTCGTGTGATCCTGGCAGTGGCCTTACAAGGCAGCCATCGCCCTGGCCTGGTGGCTGCGTTGGCTGGAGCGCCCTCCCTACACTGCACACCGTGTGCACGTTCCATTGCCGGTCAGGGCACACCCTTAGGTTTGGGGTTCAATTCCCAGTAGGGGCGCGCGCATGGGAGGCAACCTATCGGGTGTTTCTCTCTCCCCCCTCCTCGCTCTAGAAATCAATGGAAACACATCCTCGGGTGAGGTTTTTCTTTAAAAGGCCGCCATCACCGTCATCATCACCATCATCATCCCCATTTCACCTTTGCAGAAAGGGAGGCTTGCGGGGTGACATTCGCTCAAGGTCACAGCCGGTGCGGCGTAAGCGAACCGCACCAGCCTGAGCGGCCGGAGGGGCGGCCCCGGGGCATCTCCCGAGGCCGCGCAGACCCG